GCAAAAGGGGGAACAGGCACCGTCGTTACAGCCAGTCCAGCACTTCCTTCTGGAGTATTTTTCACCTGCTTTATAGAATCATAGAATTTTAGGGGTTGGGATGGAGCTTAGAGATGATCCAGCCCCAACCCCTGCCCTGAGCAGGGACACCTCCCACCAGAGCAGGTTGCTCAAGGCTCATCCAACCTGGCTGTGAACACTGCCAGGGTTGGGGCAGCCACAGCCTCCCTGGGCAACCTGGGACAGTGTCTCACCACCACAACAGGGAAAACTTCTGCCTAACATCTAACATAAATTTCCCTCTTTCAATTTGTATCCATTACCCCTTAACCTATGCCTGCAGCTCCTAACGCAGATCCCTCTGCAGCTTCCCTGGAGCCCCTTCAGCTCCTGGAAGGTTGTTACGAGATCCCCACACAACCTTCTTTTCTCCAGGCTGAACAGCCCCAAAATACTTCCAGGTAGTTTGGAATACTGGGACTTTTGGAGACCTCTCTCAGCATTTAATTGGCACAGGCCTGGCAGCAGCTCTGACTCTGCACCACCTTCACAAGGCTTCAGCTAAACCAGCCCCCGACAGACCCCCATTCCCCGCGGCTCCAGCGCGAAACGCTCCGTTCTGTGCTCGATAAAAGCACATCTGCATTGTGAAAAGAACATTAAAAATAGTTCAGGCACTAAAAATAGGCAACTGATTGCATAATGGATTAAAATACTCAGCAGTTGTACCTTCTGAGACTTTGGAAAGGGAAAGTAGTATTGTTATCCCTCCTTTGTAGAGCAGGAATCAGGAAGGAGACTCCGGGATCTAAATCCTCTGGAGAGTCCTTTGAAAAGCTGCCTGGCACACATCTGACCTCGAGGCATCTTAAGTACCTCGTTGAACCCGAGATATCCATCACATGTGGCATTTCTGACACGTGCCAGAAAACATATGACAGGAGCGTGAAAGCAGAAGCTGTGGCCCAGGAGAGCTCCAAGGGCCTCGCTCAGGATGGCTGTTGGTAGGGTCACAAGGTCATTAACTTTGGCCATCACTGAGTTTCCCTCCTGGCCATAACCCAAGCTGGTAACTCCTGGGCTCTTTCCCACAGCGCAGCAACAATGGGATTGTTCCACTCGGGATACAACCCACAGTGGTGCTGCTCTGCTCAGGCTGTGATCCAGGTCAACAGTTTACCAAGGCTACAAGGGATAATGGCTCAGCCTTTGCTTCCCACCTTGGTTGGGATGGTCCTGGTGTTTCCCACCTTCACCATGCTCTTGCTCCTGGTAGGATCAGGGAGCACCTCACGGCCCAGCTGGTATGGTCAGGGGACACTTCACCACTCAGCTGGTTCCATCAAGGCTTATCAGGAGCTTCCGAGATCACGGAGAAGTCCTGAGGCTGGGGGGGAGGATGTACCACCACATCATCACATTTCATTTTGGCAAAGCTTGGAAAGGAGCCCTGACCATATATGGTAAAAGTTTGGAATCATCCAAAATTAGACATAAACTCACCCAAAAAGAAAATAAAAAAAGAAAGTAAATAATCTTATTAAAGCTCACTCATGGCATGAGCAGCTTCCAGGCTGGATGGTGGACTGAGCATGGTGCTGCAGGTATCAAACCCATTTCAGGCAGGCTGGGAATGCTGCCTGCTCCAGGGAATCTCAGAATGGAAGGCACCAGCACACAGGACAGCACTGTGCCTCTGGAGGACTTGCTTTTGGCATTTGTGGACCCTGCAGCGTAGCACATGTTTATATGCCCAAGGAGGCTTTGTGCAAAGTTGGCAAAAGCTGTTACTAAACCTGAAGCTGCAGGACAGCCTGTCAATCCTGTGGAGCTGTGCCAAGGGATCACTGCAGGGCTCTGTGTGCCCAGGGAAGGTGACACCAGGGGTGCACAACGCCTCACAAGGTGCAGCTGAATGGCACCAGGTCTCAAGGCTTCTTCTCCCCTTCTCCCATCAGGACCACAGGATGGTTTGGGTTGAAAAGGACCTTAAAGATCTCATTCCAACCCCCCTGCCATGGGCAGGGACACCTTCCACTAGCCCAGGCTGCTCCAAACCCTGTTCAGCCTGGCCTGGAGCACTCACATAGATGGGGATCTGGTGGTCCTTCTTCAGGTCCCAGGGTGCATTTTCCACCTCCTGCCCTGTGATTGACCTTTTCCATCTCTGCAGCATGTAGTGAGTGCTGGAACAAGTCAGGGCAGTCACACAGTGCCAGACTTGTAAATAGTCTCTCTCCACACTTCTTGTAGCCCCTTCAAGTACTGGAGCCACAACTAGATCATCCCAAACCTTCTCCAGGCTGAACAATCCCAATTCCCTCAGCCTTTCCTCACAGGAGCGGTATTCCATCCCTCTAAATTCCATCCCTCTAATCAACTTGGTGGCCTCCTGTGGATTGCTCCCACAGGTCCTTCCCTATCTTTAGGAGAAAGCAACAAGCCCCACAACAATCAAGGAATTACAGCACTCAGATCTACATCAGCACAGCGTTAGGAGCAGAACTTCACACACACACACAAGAGGAAACAGCAAACCCAACGTCTTACCTGTGGTGGTGTGAGTTACATGCAAAGGGGAGGAAATGGGGGTGCTACCTTCTTGTTTTCCTTTTTTTCTTCTAATGTTGTAAGAAGGTCTGAAAACTTTTTGCCCCCTTCCCCTTTGGGAGGAAAAGAGAAAGAAAACATGAAGCACAGAGGAATTGGGTTCATGAACATCAAGCTTCATCATTCGTGGGTTTGCTGGAGGACCCAGCAGCAGGATTAGCTAAGCATGGCATGGGGGGTCACCCCAAACCACAGCCAAACACTGAACATCACCAGGGAAAAATGCATCCACCCTTAACGACAGGAGAAAAGGACTCAGGGAGCTTTGCTTCCCTCAGCATCGAGGAGGAACCTCTTTTGGGTTCAGAGAGTGATTTCTGTGCCCCCAGGTCTCTCATCAGCTCATGCACCTCAGCCCCAGGGCAATGACATCCCAATTTTTGTCTTCCCTGGGAAAGTTCTTGACTTCCATGCCCCTCCACCTGCAGGCTGAGCGGGAGCTCCTGCCGAGTGCTGCTCTTTGCAGGGCACACACTGAGCCACTCAGCTATTTTTAAAGCCATTTAAAGTGTCACCAGCTGAGACGTGGACTTCACTTGTCTCAGCAAATGCCTTTCCCCCTGCGAGGCAGTCACTGGGGCCAGGGAGGGACTCTGGATACATTGGGATGC